GAGACTTGGTCTGTTCTCGTGCCCGCTAGGTCGTTTACATATGCAGGAATCCCGGGCGATGGGTGGGCGGACTGTGGACAGTCTGGGGCGAGGCGCTGTACCGAGTAGGCAGTGCGTGGGTGTTGGAGAGACTTGGAGGAGTGGGCAGTGGGTGCGGTGCAACAGAGTTCTCGTTCCTCTTTTGCCGGTGTGGTGTCGTCTTGTCTCTGATGCTGCGATCTCCCCGGTCCTATCCGGCCTTGGGTGTATCTGCTTCACGATAGTCAAGGGTGGAGAGAAGACTTGTATCGCGATGCAATGTCGCTGATGATTCCCATCAGCGGGCAGGACAACGAGGCAGAAGGGATGCGAACAAGAACGACAACGACATGAGAACCTGGGCGGCGGAGGATGGAGACAGGTGAGGTAGGTAGTGTCGAGAGTTGAAATCTCTCGGCAAAGGAGCGGGATCAAGCGGGATGGGTTTCCCAACTGAGATGGACCTCAGGTCGGGATCGGGGTGCCAGGACTCCAGGAGCCAGGCAGGAGACAGGGGGGTGCGGCCCTTGGGGTCTTGTTCCCTCCCTGGGTTATGGTTGTGAGGGAGTGTTCTAGCCAAGACAACAAAGTCTTGGGATGGAGAAACGTCGCGAAAAGCCGCGAGTACGCCTGATTTGTCGCAGATGGCGCAAACTTGGTGGTAGAGGAAAAGTCTTGGTCAAGACTTCCTACATGTGTGATCCTTCTTGGCTTCAAAGCCTCAACGGCTCTTGGCTGTGTATTGAGATTTGTTCCGTCTAGTGTCAAGTCGACGGGTGGGAAGGAAGAAAGTCTTGGGTTAAAAGGATCTTGGGTAAAAAAGAATCGAGATGCCGCGGGAGAAGAGCGTTGACAGGCCGGCTATGCTATGTTTCGGTAGTAGGGCAGACAGAGTGGGTAGTCGAAGCCGAAGAGAGATTGAGTGACGCCGGTTCTCGGGCGAGTGGGCAGGCCGGCAGCGAGATCCAGGCACAGTCACAGTGGGCAGAGAAGGGAGTCGGTCAGTGACCGATAGATGGATAATGGATGGACGTCGGAATTGAGTGAGTCCAGAACTGTTCCCCTCTCTTCCCCTTTCACATCAGGTACGGCTACGGATTTTGCAGAGAACGGGGGCGTGGACAAGGTAGAGCAGCAAGAAAACAAATCGCCTACCCATGGCTGAGAGGTATGTACATCACACATGAGAGTGTGGGGAGGCTGAGACTGAAGATTTACGAATGGGAGGGAGGGACAAGAGCCTGAGAGACAGGAGGGGGAAAAGATACAGTGGAAAGAGTGCGAGATTCAGTAACACAGTGACAACTTGAGGCGAAGGAGGGCGGTGCGAGCGAAGATGGATGGGTGACCTGCGGGTGTGTCCCCAGATGCAGAAAGGAGAAGAAGTGAACTGGGCAGACCTCCTAGCAGACTGGCCAGGAGGAAGAGACAGACACAGACAGGCGGCCGCGTAGGACGTGTGTGATGGACGCACCACACGGGCGTGTCTGGATCTCACCACACCAACCACAACGCAACCAAACGTCCCTCCTCTCGCTTGATTTAGCACTTTTTGTGTGGGATCTTCTAAAACCGGAGCGGTCCCTTGGTTCCACTTTTTAAGATGGAAGAAGCGTTTGCCGATGGTGACAGCCACAGAAAGTCTGTGGTTCAGAAGTCCGTACCTGTTTTGATAGTGACGCTCATGGTGGCATTGAAGAGCTGGGATCGAGTAGGTGTTGACGTCGTGTGTGTGTCGTTGTGCGAGTGATTGTCAGAGAAGAGACATCTACTGAAGAAGACTCGAAGAAGGAAACTTGTCTCTAGCAACACGGCCGTGGTCCGACGTGCTCCATCATCTAACCTGGCCTAAGCTCGGGATATCCGCCTTTCGGCGCCGGCTATCCGTTCTAAACTTCTGATCGAGTTACGTTGCTGATCAGCTGAAAGTGACTATACCGGACTGATGAAGACAAGAGAAAAGACCAATATCCAGCGCACGATCTGTTCCCTCTCTCCTGGCCCGTACACAGTGACAATGCAGTTTCTCAAAGACCTGCCAATGCTGCACACTCAAAGCGACAACCACCCAACCGAATTATCCATACCCACGTACACAGTACACAGTAGATGCTACTGAAGAATGACGGGGATCAGGACCAGATCAACTCGCGATCCTTGTTCCGAGACCCGCGTCTCTCGGACCATGCAGCAGAAGCGCACACACACAGCCACAGCATACGGCTCCTTCACCCAATCATCCTCGTTCATCTCCCTCATGCACTTCCCACTCCCACATGCCCGTACCTTGCGCGGGACTGGTGTTGCAGATCCGCCTTTCCGGGGTTCCAGGTGCCGCTAGAATCATGGTCGAAGGGCTGAAAGAGCGCGCCTCAGCCAAACAGAACAGCCAGCTTCCCACACCATTTTCCAGTATTAATACCTAAATCCTGAATCTCTTTAGGTGGTGAAGTGCACTTGGACCCTGTCATCTACAGGTTGCTCCGTCCCAAACTCTTCCTTTTTTGTTTCCTCACTTCTTTATCGTCCTCAAATCATTCGGAAGCTCGTCATCCCATCTCCCGTTGGAGATGTTGGATATTCTCCGTCGAATATTCTCCGACGGCGAAAGACGAATGCTTTTCTCTTGAGCTCAAGGACAACTCCTGAGCTCGAACAGGGCCCCCGTCCGTCCGTGTTTCTCTCGAGCTTGTCTGTCACTGTCACAGGATTGCTTCGGCTTCTCTTGCTCCCCAGAATGCCGAGACCATCCATTGGCAGCTTTGCCCAGAAATTCCAATGTGGCCATCGTCAGTGCGTACGCAGTTTTATGGCGCCTTTGTATCATCGTCCCTCGAGGCCAACCGTCAAACCAGGCGAGAGAAGGCTTGGCCGTGGATTCTTTTGGAATTATTGACCCATCTCGAGCCCTTGTTTGACCATGACAGTTTATCTCGGCGCGCGCGCTCTCCACTGGTGATGGTCATCATTCAGTGTCAAGGCCGCGCGATAGCAACCATAACTCTCCTATCCCCTGGGCCCTGGCATGATTGGCATCGTTTTACGGGACGAGTTGCAGTTGCATCCGCTTGTTGATACTTCCGCCTGATTCTCAGCAGAGCCTAGAGATCCAGCACCGCCTCTTGTTGCGGTTTCTGTTTCCATTGCTGCGTAGTGAGTGTGGGGGCTCGAGAAGGGTGATTCGCGGCCTCGCCAGCAGCTGGCGTATGTTAGTCGCGGAATGTCGTATTCTCGCCCAGGTTTGTTTTGACGTCCACCATCATGCCAGATGCTCCCGATTATCTCATGTTCTATCTTTCTGCCCTTCAAGGATGCCTGCCTGCCCGTCCACTTCCAGTAACTCAGTGGACCACCCCAACATTCCATTCCCTCCCCGCCGCCGCCGGCCGAGTTGTTTTGCTCCAGGCCGCTCGGGACGGTTTGATCGCCATGCCCCGGCGCAACCTCAATTCTCCCTTGCCCCGGGTACGTCGATCCCATAGGCGGTGCCGGCCGCGCGCGAAAACAGAGAGAAGACAGTTGACGAGAAACTACGTAATTGGCTGGCAAAGCCGTATAGTATACCAGATTTATTGTACTGGTAACTATAGCCAGAGCCTCAACAGGGTTGTCGGACAGAATTAGCAAGACCGAGCGAGATTGGAAAGCATCAGCCGAACGAAGCGAGTCGTTAATCATGTCACAGTTGTTGGAGGGGGCGAGTAGAGCCGATGTGGGAAAAGTGTCTCGCGACCCTCCCCAGTTGTTGGTGTATCGAGCATGCTCAATAGCTTGGAAACCCTACAGCCGTATTCGCCCACCTCACCTTAACAGTGTCAGTGGTTGCGAATATAGGCTCAAGCAAGCAAGGTTCGTTCCTTGAGGAGGCATTCGGGGAAGCTTTTGCCCATGTTTCGTTTAGTCTTTACGCCACGCCCAAAGTGTCCCAACCACAGGCTGCCATCCCTCTCTGTCCCAGAATAAACACAATTCAGAGTTAGGTTGCCTTTTCCATCGGGTCTCGTTGCCCTTCTGAGTTTTTGGTAGTCTCCAGAACCCAAGAGCGTAGAATTAAGGTGTGTCAATCCAAAGCTTCGAAGCGTCTTGACCCTCTCCTCCCAGTAATTTCATCCGACCTCTCGCCGCTGCCCTTCTCTCTGGGACTCTCTTCTGTCAGAGTTACCACCGGCCATGGGACGCTCATAGTCCCCCCTTCTCTCCCCGCCTTCTCCCGCCGGCTGTTCGGTTTGCCGAGCACTGCGTTACCGTCCAAGAGCCAAAACTGCTGCTTGCACATAAAATGCCAAGAGAACCAATGTTGCTGTATTCTGCCAAGCGCACCCCTCCCCGACCCCGAGCGGCGGGTTACGAAACTTGCCCACCAGACGAACCAAAGTGAAACAAATTCGCCAGAGAAGCCCTGTCCGAATAGGGTGATGGTCAGGATAGTCTTTTGTTTTTGAATTCCGTCCGTAATGTAAGCCGGGCCGTACACTCCAATGACGTTGGGCAAAGGCACAGAAAAATGTCAGAAATACAGCATAATGTATTCTAGATTTGTGGTTCCTGAGCGAACCTCGTAGCAGCAACAGCAGAAGCAGCCAGAAGCGAGCCTTCGTCCGATGGGCCTGGGTCAGAATCATGAAAGGATTCGAAAGCGAATGCGGATGCGCGCTGTCGAAGAGGTCGATGCAAGCACCACATTATTCTTGAACTCACTTAGCGGCTCGGGAACACAAGGTTGTGTAGCTTTTTTTGCTTTTCCCGCTGTGGGAAGCCGAATATGTGGAGGAACAGCATCAACAACCAGCTTTGTGCCACTATGCTCATCCACCCGTGACAACTGTCCTCTCCCCAGCTTGAACGGGACTTGGTTGCGATGCAAATACGGTATACCCATACTTGTCCCTTCGTCATGCCTTGCCTTGCTTCCCGCCTCCGCCGCCGGTCCCGCACAACCACAAAGGAGGTTGCCAATCAACCAAAGGGGAGAGAGGGACCCAATGTTCCGGAACAAGAAACCAGGGAGGCTCATATTTTTCGAGCGGGAAGGGATAAGCTTCTCGGGAAGTTTTTGCCTTGCCCCTTCGCGGGTAGGCATTCCTGGGGCAGAGGCTCCCAACGCCCAGTCCTTCCCTTCGACTACCGTAACGGCCAAGGGTTGTATTAGCTGCGACGGACGTCCCGGCTCCGGGCGGGGGGTTCGTGGGGCCTTTGCGACTACTGGACACAATGATACTGCAGTGGCAAAGAAGAAAGAGCCCGCCAAGTCTCTTGGTGATATTCAGATTTCAACTCCTGTCACTCTGTATTCGTCATCTCCAGCCGACGCCCAGGCTGATCGGGAACACCTTGGCGGAAGGTGGGAGATGAGCCCAGATGCTGCATCTCGAGTCGTCTTGTCACTTTTGTGGCACCCTTGGCTTTCCTGCGACTTGTCCGTACACGTACGCTCACGTTGTGGACGGGTGGACTTGGCAAATCACCAAGCATTTCAGCTACTTTCTCTGAAGTTTGCGGCATCATCATCATCGAGTCCTTGAAATGTTGTGTGACATTCAGGGTTTAATCGGCCGGGAGATTGGGCTCCCCCTCCACCCGCCGCAGCCCCAACCTGCAGCAAGCCGAGCCTCGATCTCCTGCGTCTGTTTTTTCGTCTGAAGTTACCCGGTACTAGCGCATAGCAGTCCTACCTGAACAATGGAAGAATGGAGAGGAGGGAGAGAAAAAGAGCTGCAAGGCAAAGAGGGAAATCTGCTACATCTGAGCCGAGATGCCAAGAAAGTGTCTCCAGGTGTGAAACAGGAGATTTGACAAATCGGTATCAAGACCTGGAGAAATGAATAGGGAAGTTTACAGAGCCGAAGTTTTTTGATCACTTTCGAAAAATCTGGAGAAAGGAGAAGGAATATGAGAAAGTCAAATGGAAGATGGCAGTGAGAATGAGAGTGAGAGTAAAAGTCAGTGAGAGTGAGGGTAAGAGGGGAGGCGGCATGACCTAGCAAAAGTAGCGTCGATTTAATCGGGCATCAGATCGCGGGGCCGAGTAAATCGTGCTAAAAAAGAAGAAGGAAAAGGTTGACGGCAATCTCGCATGCTCGTGTTGTACGAGAGTTCTCTGGTGTCATGTTGTGCGAGGCACTGAGCTAGCCATTTGTCTTCGTGTAGCATTGCAGATTGGCTTTCGTGCTCTTGGCTGAGAACCATTCGTGTGATGATCGGTATTGTCGGCTGATAAGAGAAAAATGGCAAAGAACCTAAGGGATACCGGAGATGATGGGGAAAAGGTAGGGTGAGAGCATGGGAGACCAGGGAGGAGGGCCGTGACAGCGGGAAGTTTGGAGAGGTTATTCAGTGGATATCCGCTGTGAATTCCCCGACGCGGTTACACACCGAGCTTCACCCCAATAAGCTTCCGCTCTCTTCTCGGTGAGGCTCTCGGTCTGCTGTTCCGGAAACCCCCACACGGAAACCATGAAGGTTCTCGATGGATACAAACCCCCAAGGCCGCTTATGTCATTCTATCACGTGCAAGGGCCCGCACATCCACCTTCACTCACCGAGCTCACCGATAACACCGAGACCACCGTCTCCATCTCCACCAAACCTCCGTCGTCCCCAAAAATCCGCCGCAGAAACCATCACAGCTTTGGATGACTCTACAAAGCCATTGCGCCTCCACAATGGCCGCAATCCCCTTTCTTCCTCCCTAATCCAAATCATCTCTCGTTTCTCATCATTCCGCATAATCTCAAATCGCCCAAAATGCTCGCCCGCACCCTCCGCGCCGCGGGCGCAAGCACAACCCATCCCAGCGCCGCCGCCGCCCAACAACAGCTCCGAACAGCATGCTCCTCCTCCCACCCGTCACGCGGCCCCGAAACCCTCCCCTCAAGTCCAATCCGCGTCCTCCGCACCGTCTCCGCCCTCCGCCACTGGCGCCGCCCCCACGTCCAAAACTACCGCTCCGTCGGCCTCGTCCCGACAATGGGCGCCCTCCACGAGGGCCACCTCTCCCTCATCCGCGCCGCCGCCCGCGAGAACCACCACGTCGTCGTCTCCATCTACGTCAACCCGGCCCAGTTCGGCATCGCAGAAGACCTGGCGTCCTACCCGGTAACCTGGGCACGCGATAGCGAGATCCTGCGGAACCTCGACCGCGAGTTGGCCGGCGACGGGGATATGCTCGGTCGCGTGAGCGCCGTGTTTGCGCCGACGACGGGGGAGATGTATCCCTCTGGGTTTCCCGGGCAAGAGGTCAGCAGCAAAGGCAGTTTTGTGACGATTACGCCTGTGGGCGAGGTTCTCGAGGGCGCGAGCAGACCTACCTTCTTCCGGGGCGTCGCGACGGTGTGCATGAAGCTGTTCAACATTGTCCAGCCAGAGCGCGTATACTTTGGCCAAAAGGACGTGCAACAAACCGTCGTCATCCGCCGCATGGTGGAAGACTTCATGCTCCCCATGGACGTCGTCATCGGCGAGACGACGCGCGCGGATGACGGCCTGGCTCTGAGCTCGCGTAATGTCTATCTAGGCGAGCGTAGGCGCAAGGTCGCGACGGTGCTTAACCGCGCGCTCAAGGCCGCAGAGGAAAAGTACCAACAAGCGGGTGCGCTGGACCGAGAGACGATCCTCGGGGCTGCAAACCAGGTTACGGCCGACGTCTTGGCGGAGCAGTCGAAGCTGGCGCCCAAGGATAGGGTCATGTTCGAGGTGGACTACATCTCGCTGGCAGACCCGGACACCATGCAGGAGATAGACACTGTTTTGCCGACAAAGGGCGGTATACTGAGCGGCGCTGTGAAGATGCTGCCCGTGGAAGAGCCGCGGCCAGGCGAGGATCTTGGTCATAACGACGGTCCCGCAGTGCGCCTCATTGACAACATTATTCTCAAGCCTAATACCCAGTAAGGAGCGACTTGGATGGATTTGGATAAGAATTGAAGACGAGTGCTGTCACTATCTTACCGCATAATGCTTTATAGACTTCTTATAAATTCCAAGAATGCCATGCTTTGCAGTTAACACATACTATCGTAAGATCATCACGCTTGACACGATTACAATACTATATCATTTACAGGTGTGCGCGATTTTCCAGAGACCTGCGCCTCCTTTGTTCCTTGACGCTTTTCTTGAGCTGCCGCGCATCTTCGATACTCAACAGGGGTGACACCCCCTTGCCGTCAATGTTTCTGGCAGCGTCAAATAGTTTGCTTCCCAGTAAGTCCGTCAGACGAAGCACGCGTGTGCTGACGGTGGCACCATCACGACGATTCTTTCCCTCGCGACGACTGGATGCAATCTTCTCGGTAAAGTCCCACAGCCGTCCAGAGGCGTTAAGGGTGCCGGTTTCGGGGTCGCGAGAGGGGCGCCACTCTGGATCGAGACGCAGACGTGGAGGAACCTTGGGGTCTTTTGACTTGACAACCTGAAGGATACCTTCCTCCTCAAAACGTTGGTAGGCGTTCTTTAAGGTCTCTTTGTTGACCGCCTCAAAGTAGCTGAGATCGCCTTGGTGGTAGAGTGTCTTGCCGAGCTGGGGAGTGTTAGCCGCATGTACCATATTCAATACCCATAGTAGTCCACTTACCACTTGTGCACTGCCCTGGGCTTTTGTAACCTCGATCCAGATATCATCCTTCTGGCCCAGAGGCGGCGACAAGCCCATCAACGAGACAGCTGCGAGCCAACTAGCCTCGATAAACGGCCAAATAAGGAAGCAGTAAAAGTCGTAGTTCTCTCGTCCGACAGCTCTTTCGTGATCTGAAAGACCAATCACAATCACCTTGCCCTGGTCATCCCGATGCAATTTCAGCACCTTGTCCGCTTCCAGGTCTCGCAGCGTCTTTTCCAAGTTGGCAGCTAGACCTTCACTCGGGAAGATGAACTCTCCACGAAACAGTGATGACAGGAACTGAATCTGGTCCTGCAGCTCTTGGAAGGAGATGTCCTGCATGGCCGGGCCACCACCCTGCTTCACCTTCATGTACATGGCGGCGCTGACAATAGCTTCTGAAATGAACAGATGAATAGTCATGTTCCGGTAGAAGGACAGCTGGAAGCGATCAACGGCGTAGTAGGTAGGCTCTGGAAGGTCTTTCACGACGCCAACCAGCTCCTTGCCCAGAACGTCGAGACCACGTTCGATAATGTCGGAAAGAGGTGCAGCTCCAAAATGAGCGACTCTGCCACCCTTTGCCCGCACGCGGTCGGTAAGCCACAGAACGCGTCGCTCAAGTTCAGTCTTGCCTACACCTCTGCCTCTCAAAGTGAGCAAGACAGTACCAATCAAGGCTGTAGGCATGACGACAGAGACATCATTGATGTCCGATAAGACCTTGTAGCCTAAAATTCGAAGAAGCTTCTGTCGGATCGCCGTGTTTTCGGGGTTCTTTGTATCCATATTGAGGCCGGTTGGTAATCTTTCCAGTCTTGTGAGCTGTTCGTTGATGAAGCCGCGCAAGCTCCAGGGCTCGTGGAATCTGACGTCAACTCGGCCAAGTCTCAGAGACAAGACTGAAGAACCCCCGGAAAGGAAATCTGCCAGATTTTCCTTCTTCTTGGGCACGCCCAACAGCTCTGTAACGTAGCCCTCGGTTTCAATGACCTTGTCGTACTGCGTGCTCACTGGGCAGATGATGGCGTCCTCGACGCGGCCTGAGAGAATACTGTCCAAGATGAAGCTGAGAATACCGAACTTGGGAGGCAGCAGCTTTCCTGTCCTTGACCGACCACCCTCAATGAAACACTCAAAGTTGTAGCCGCCTTGCAGGAGGGTGTCGATATACGTTTGTACCAGAGTTGTGTACAGAATGTCGTCACCGAAGGCTCTCCGAATCCACATGGCACCGGCATGCTGCAAGAAGCTTCCAACAAGAGGAAAGTTCAGGTTGTCGCCAGCTACGACGACGGGCAGGCCGAGACCGAGACGGTAGCAGATGAGCTGCAGAGAAACGTAGTCAACGTGTGATCGATGGCAAGGCAAGAATATGATGCTCTGCTTTTTCTTTTCGGCCTCTTCCGCAACCTTTCTCAGCCTCAGAACCTCCTCACTAGAGACATGGATGCCTTGGTTATAGGCCCGCAACGTCAACTGCGTGACGAGATAGTATGCGCTTCTGATGAAGGTCTTGCTCTCAAACTTGCAAATCATGTCGTCCGTCATTTTGTCAGCCACCTCTTGGATTCCAGACTCGACGACAGCTCGTCTACGTGCGCGCTTCATGGCAAAGTCTTTGTCTTGCTTATTCAACAGCCCTTCTTTTTCTTCGACAGCGACACGTTTCTCAGCGAGATCCGCGATGCGCGACTGCAATAAGGGCGCTGAAAGCACAGCTTCCTTCATCTTATCGCTGAAACCAGAGTAGAAGATGGGTTGGCCGATGGCATTGTCGTAGGCGCGCCAGCCGGTACCGGAGACATATAGAGAGACTTCGCGGAGGAACCTACCACGGAGAAAACGAGTTAGTCTTGTTCCTGGATCGACATTGAGGCTGAGACCAGTGGAAAGACGGGCCGGGGCGCGGGTGATACATACTGTAGCGGTTCCTGGCGGAAGCGTGCCATGTGCTTCATCAGAGCCTCCTCCTTTTCGTCATCGCGTGGCTGGGATGGCTTGATGTAGCCGCTAGGTTGAAGTGTGATTTGGTCGCCGAGGATCTTCAGATCTGGCGCGGAGTCGTCGTTCTTCGCCATTGTTGAGTGAGGATTCGGGAATGTGGTGCGAGTATGGTCAGTTTGTGACGTCTTCGAGGTGTTCGTAGGGTACCAGGTGAGGTAAGGTCGGGGAGAGAGGGCGCGTGGGAATTGTAGATCGTCGAACCTCGGCCCGTCCGTCCGTGGTTGTTGATATCAGTGCTAGCTTGGTCGTTCTGGGATGCTCCGAAACAGTCCGTCAAAGGTCCCTTGCCATTGCCGACAGTGGAAGAACACGACGGAGGATTTTAGGTACCGTTCTTGTGTCTCGGGTCCCTCGATCAAAGTCGCAAGATGGCGTTGGAGAAGTGACGGACTGTTGGGACTTGGAGAAGAGAAGACTGGGTCACTGGATGTGTTGTGTTGTGTTGTGTGTGGTGTAGAAGATGCGCCGGAGAGCCTCCAAGTCGCATTGTCATTACCCTCCGGGTTCTGGGGGGAATTCCTGGTGGACCGTTGAGGTCAAGTGCCACCTGCCCGCCTCTATTAAGCCGAGCTCCTGCTCAAGTGGCATTTAGCGGCTTCGGCATGTGAACAAACACTAACCATCCATGTTGCTGCTGCAGGAGCCACCCTGCTTCTGATGCTTACCTTCACCAATTGGAGATGGGTACGTACCCATCCATAATCTGGAGGCACTAACATTTAATTTTCCATCTTTCCAGCGTCAACCTTGACTCTTCAATTTCGACAAGCAAACACCACCATCGCGACATTTTGCGCCAGCACTGCTACACAGCGACTCAACACCATCACGCTATTGTCGCAGGCCTGCAAACTTCTACCAGGTTTGGGCGAAATTATGGCTCCTTCAAATCAGCCCATTACGCAGGCTCTCCTCGCCCGGGCGCACTCCCCCGACAGCGCCAACCGCCTCTTTTCCGAAAAGATTCAGTACAGACCACTCTATCTCAGACCAAGCTCGCCACCACCACCGTCAAACGCCCGAGAGACCCGTCGCAAGGCCCGTGAAGAATCAAAAAGGAAACGAAAGCTCAAGCCGAAGCCCCTTTCAGCGCGCGAAAGACACAGGCGCGGCCTCTACGAAGTACCCCGCGAGGGCCAAAAATACTCCATTTTCGAACCCCTCCACCGCCTTTGGCTTGGCTACATTGAAGAAATACTGGGGTCAGAGCTCTACACAGGCGGCGCCTCTGCATCGGCAAAACTGAGTGCTGCCGAGTTCCATGGGGCTGCGGTTGAGGTGTCGCGCAGTTCTTGCCCGAGCAGAGTCGGCATTCAGGGTATCGTCATCAAGGACGGCAAGTTTGCGTTCGAGATTATAACACCAAAAAATGATATCAAGATTGTGCCAAAGGAAGGGACGTGGTTCAAATTCGAGATACACGTCAAGGAGCCGGATACGGAGGTAGCCACACAAGGCACCCCACGCCAGTTCGTCTTCGAGGTTCTCGGTGACCAATTTCTGATGCGCGGGGCGGATCGTGCAAACAAAAAGTTCAAGCCTCACTACCTAAAAAACTTATGAGGCATGCACTCGGCGCATGATGGACTGCGACATGCACTAGGCCTGGTTCGTCGACTGAATGGCTCAAAGAAAGAAGAAAAAAAGGCCGGTAATTGCTGAAAGCAAGTACGAGTTAATGAATTGCGCCTTAATGCTATGAACGCGGGGGCTTTTGTAGAAACAAGAGAGCGCAAAGATAGACGTTCAGTGGAGGGAAGATGGGGGTCAAAGAAGTACAAAAATTGTGCCATGCTCTGTTAAAAGAACAAAAGAAAAAGTGAAGCACTCTGAATGGTGGAATTTAACCGCTGAGACTCCCCGAGGTGGGCTCGAACCACCAACCTCCAGATTAACAGTCTGACGCGCTAGCCAATTGTGCCATCGGGGATGAGATGCTTGTTGCTGGAGGACCTGACCGGTTCCGTGCATAAGTCGGGAGCCCGCCTGGGAGCCCCGCCCCCTACAAAGTCCGCCCGCGACCGAGCCACGGTTGACCGCGACTAGGGCGACCGCGATGTTGATTCAGCTCGTCTTTCGAAGCTGCGATCGCGAGGCGGCATGCGTGGCTTGGCCGTCGGTCGATTCAGACGGATTCCAGGGCGTCTTTGCCTTGTTCGGCATGTATGGGAGTGCCTGTTCAGTTAGCTCGAAATCACCAAAACGCCCGATTTCGTATGCCGCTGTTCTATCTCTCTCGTCGTTCGGTGGGGTAATTCTCAAGTTTGTTGGAATTCCAGATCGTGATTGAAGCATACATGAAAATTTCGGGAATTGACGAGACCATGAAATTTGTAGACGACAGCGTGCGACGCTCAACTTGATGATTGTGTTCGTGGGGGCGACGTAGACTTACACAAAGTTTCACAGTGACATCCTGCCATTTATACCGGACAACAATCATCAGAGCCCCTGATGGCAAAAGAAAACCTCGGAAGCGACAAATTCGCGAGATGGAACCGTGGCACGTCACAGAAAGAGCGCCAGGTTACATAATGGCGGCTACTTGCCTATCCTAAAAAGCAACGCGACGCGTGCGACCGGACGCCGATGACATCAGGACTCGATCAGACGGAACTGGCCCAGTCGCGCATTCCGCCTCGAAGCTGTTTGCTCACCGCAGCAACCAGTCCTTTTCTTTCTCTCTCAACTTTCTCCTCTTTCCTTACTTCTATCATCATACCAAACAAGTCCAATTGACCTCTCCTGACTCTTGTCCTCCTTCCAATTAAAGAAATCCAGTCAATTCGTATCAATTACACATCTTGCCTCCACCATCGGTCTACACCATGGTCACTACAAGAACAAGATCGCGTGCCAACAGTGCCGCCGACGCCAATGGCCACGCAGACTCTTCCAATGCGGCTGGTGAGAAGCGTGGCATCGAAAAGGACGCTTCCAGCGGATCCCCCGACGCCAAGCGTGCAAAGACGTTGGATGATGATTCCACTCGTCAGACCACCATCGACGAGGCCTTTGAGAAGAATGACGATGCAGAAGCCGGTAAAGCCAAAGAAGAGACTAAGGCAAAGGAAGATCCTGCCGACACGGAGATGAAGGACGGTGAAGAGGAGGCCACCAACGACTCAACGAAGCCAGAGGAGCCAACCAAGGAAGAGGAGGCTGCGATGGCAGAAAAGGTGGAGGAGGTAGAGGAAGCAGAAAAAGAAAATGATGAGCACAAGACGGAAGAAGTCACGACAGAGGATAAGCCAGAAGCCAAGGCAACGGAAGGAGAGTCTGCAGAGAAGACAGGCGAGAAGGACAAGGTCCCGTCCAACATTCTCGAAAAGGGAATCATCTACTTCTTCTTCCGCGCCCGTGTCAACACCGATGGGGCCGAAGAAGTAGACGACATCGCCCGCAGCTACATGATCCTCCGCCCCATCGGTACAGACTCCAAGCTGGGTGACGGTCCCATTGGCGACGCGGGCAACACGCGCCTGCTCGCCCTGCCGAAGAAGGTCTTCCCCGAGACCGGCCGCGACAAGTTCATGGTCTTTGTCGAAAAGGCGGGCGCCTCGTTTGCCGAGCTGAAGGAGCAGTTCCTGGCTGGCGCTGATAACCAGACCAAGTCTGGCGTGTCGCACGCGCCTGCTGCCACGCCGGCTGGAGAGGGCGTCTACGTTATCACCACTACTGGAAGCGATAGCCATCTCGCGTACATGCTCACCCTGCCGTCTGACCTCGGCGAAGTGCAGAAGGAGCTTGGGCTCAAGGAGAAGGGCAGCTTCATCTTGAGCACGAAGAACCCTTACAAGAAGGGCCCTGCAAATGCTAGTCTCGATCAGACTCCCGACTTCCCAGATAGGTACATGAACCCAGGATCCTTCCCCCTTTTCAACTGAGAATGAGTGCTGACACTTTGACATTTAGTATCAAGGACGACTTCCGCGACCTGCGGTGGACGAACACCAAGCCCGAGCATCTCGACTACCCCAATGCTCAGTTCCTCTTCATTGGACAGTCTGAATTCAGCAATGCCGTCGAGCCAAAGTCAAAGGACGTCAAAGCTGGCAAGGAGAACCCAGAGGATATTCTCGAGGAGATTGCCGACGAGGATGAAAAGCGCATGGAGCACCTCTCTGGCGACGACTCGGCCTCCATCTTTGCCGACCTACAGGTGCGGGCGAAGGACTATCCCAAGCTGCAGACTACCTTTTGATTTTGATCGGGTGTCAAACATGTCTCTCTTGTTGAAAAAGTTGGCTTTGTGCCGCGTGTTTACTTCTCAAGCTATTGGGAGGCGCGTAAGGAACGGAAACTCTTAGACAATTCTTCGGTTCAGTTGCGTCAACGTGTAATTTGTAACAAAGCATTTTTTTCACGGGCGTATCAAATCAACCGTTCATATCTACAGTATCTGTACTGGACAAATCTCTCTTAATCTACGTGTTAGGATGGCTGTGACACGAGGGTATAATGGCATCGTGTAACATCAATCCATCCAAGTTAGCAGTTTTCTCTATAAGAACTCGTAAGGGAGGCACTCTAGGCGTATTTTCTCAATAAAATTGCTCATACCAAGAAGAGACCTAGGCAAACAGATTCTTGAAGAGCATCCAAGCCGTTTGGTGACATCCATCCATCAAGTGTAGTAGATACCGACTTCGCGCGACTCCGGGGTGGAAGATGACCTCCCTAAAAAGTTGCCATACCATAGGGAGGCAATTTCATGGTTGATTTTCCAGTGCTAGCTCATCATTAGCTTCGTTGGGCATGTAAGCGCCACATGCAGGATTCCGTCAAGGGCGGCGATCCTCTTCTTCCTTCGCCGATGGCCCTGCGGCGAGGGGACTGTGAGATCCCCGATCGGCGTTAAGCAATGTCGGGGATGCGGAGCCCCGATCGCCGATACACGACGACCACGGCCCGTGATACCGACTTACACGGTAGGTGAGACGGGACTGCACGAATGAGACAGCCGTCTTCGGAGAGTAAGCTGCATTCAAGGCGGTCATGTTTGGATCTTATAAAGGGAATCAGGTTTCCGCGGATGAGTTCATCAAGACCAACATATTACGACTTCATCACCGAAACAATATCAGTATGACACCGCTTAAAGGAAAGACGGCAATCGTCACAGGAGCATCCCGCGGTCTAGGCGCAGGCATGGCTCTAGACCTTGCACGCAAAGGCGCATCCGTAAGCTTCGTCTCCCATCATCTCTACCCACTCTGCCCTCATCCGCTCACCAACAACAGGTAATGCTCCTCTACACCTCCGACACAAGCGCCCAAAAAGTCGACTCCCTCATCACAGAAATCACCTCCTTCCCACACACCCCCTCCGCAGTATCCTGCAAAGCAGACCTCTCCTCAGAAACCGCCCCAGCCACAGTCCTCGCCGCCCTCGACGCCTGGCTCGGCCCAGACTCCCGCATCGACATCCTAATCAACAACGCCGGCACAGAACTCAACGCACCGCTAGGCACCATCACCACCGCTGATTTCGCAAAAGTCTACGACCTCAACGTCCGCGCGCCTCTCCTCCTAACCCAGGCCCTTCTCCCGCGCCTGGCTTCCAAGGAGGCACGCATCATCAACATCGGTTCTGTGGGCGGACGGCAGGGGTTCCCCGGGTTGGGACTGTATTGCTCCTCCAAGGCGGCGCTTGAGGGTCTGACGCGGGTTTGGGCGCGGGAGTTGGGGAGTAACGGGACGACTGTTAATTGTGTTTCGCCGGGACCGGTGGAGAGCGATATGCTGGATAAGATTCCGAAGGAGCTGGTGGAGATGCAGAAGAGGCAGACGCCGGTGGAGAATCGGACCGGGACAGTGGAGGAGGTCGCGAGGATTGTGTCGTGGCTTGCTGGTGCAGAGAGTTCGTGGGTCAGTGGGCAGGTTATTAGTGCTAGTGGTGGTTGGGCGATGTACTGAAGAAGGTACAGGGGATTTATTTGAGAAAATGGGTCGGAGTCGACGTGGAGTAAGACCTTGATATCGGCGATTGTTGTTCATTAAGTAGCTGTTGCCAGACAGGAACCTATCGCTCAGGTCTCATATTTCGGCAAAGATCACATTATTGACCCTGAGATAGTGCACATGTCACATCGGAAGATTTGAAAGGATTCTCGCAAGCAATGGATCTTGGGTATATTCTTTTCATTCTTCCTAAGCCTCTAAGCAGAAGCCTTGGCAGCCTCCTTTTCCTTTGCCTTGGCGGCCTTCTTCTCGTCGATTTGGCGCTGCTTCTCCAGCTTCTTGAGCTGGTTCTTCGTCATCTTGCCGTCGGCACCCTCGGCGGGGCCATCAGTGGTAGCCTCGCGGATGGGAATGGACTTGAGGTTCTCCGCAAGACCCCAGGACAACGGCCGGCGGCTGAAGAACAGGTTGACGGTCTCCTCGTCCACCTTGGCTCTCCGCTCCTGGAACGCGGTGCAGTACTTGGCAAGCTCCTCGGCACACCTCTTCTTGATCTCGCCGGTGAGCATCTTTCCTGTGCGGTAGTCCTCGCGGATCTTGGCAAGTTCCTCATCATCGTCGAGGAAGAAGCGCAGGTATTGGTAGCTGACGTCGACTGCATACTTATGTTAGCTACTACGCACGTAAAGACACAGTCTGGGTCTGTGATCTTACCATCTGGGTCGGCACCCTCAGCGCGCTGCTCCTCGGCGGTAACCTTGCCACCGCTGAAAGCATACTTGTTCATTTTGTTCTGGATCTGCTTGGGGGTGTCGTTCAAGAAGATGGCACTTGAATCAATTGACGCCGACATCTTGGAGCCAGGGCCCTGGAGAGCATCGAGGAAACGAGAGTGAATCAGAGAGGGCTTGGCATAGCGGAGGCCGGCGGCACAATCTCTTGTCACGCGGAAGTAGGGGTCTATCTTGATGTTAGTCTCGTCTCATTTCTAGAGCCATCAGGGGCGGGAAAGACAAACCCTGGTCAATGGCACATGGAATGAGGCAGGGGATCTGGGAAGTCTTCGCCTCGTCATCGCCAAAGATGTGGGGGAATGAGTTGCCAAAGGAGGAGCTGGCTTGAATACTGGCGAAGTGAACCTTGCCAATGTTGGAGCTATCGTCGAAGCCGAAGACGGCCTTGGCTGTGTTGAGAGTGATTCTCTTGGCCACACGAGTAACGTTCCTATGACAGGTCAGCCTTTGTTCTCTACTTCGCCCCATATAAGGTGATACTCACTTGTAGAAGTTGCCGCCCATGTAGTCGTAGTCGGAGAAAATGAAGGTCCTCTCGGGATTGAAGCCAATGGCGATGCTGCAAGACGTCAGAAGTATTCTTGCGGATATTGTTGTGAGCCTTACATGTCCTTGGCGTTTTCTCTTGTGTAGTGCTGAACCTCCTCGACCGTTCTCTTCTCAGAAAAAAGGAACTTCTCGTCTGCGGCCTCTGGTTAGTAAGGTGTTCGAGTAGCATTCTTCAGCGCTTTCTCTTACCGTCGGTCATCATGATCTATGCTATTGTTAGCGATTGATTTTGTCAAGGGGTAACTTCAAGAACAACGTACGACTAGTGGCGCATCGAGTACGTCTGACAACCACTTCGTCAATTGGAAAGGAATAGCATGTCCGACGTGCATGCTGTCGGAACTCGGTCCACGGCCTTGATATGCCCTTGTTAGCCATCCTCCTGGCCTATACTGCTTTCCATATTGTCCTCCAGTCTTTGGAATATCTTCGAGGCAACGCACCAGTGTAAATGAAGAAAGGCTGCTTCTTCTCGACACGATCGAGGATGAGGTCGAGGTCGCGGTGGGAGAAGACAATCTGGCGACGGAGGAAGTGGTGGGGTCTGTGACCAGTCACGCGCTCGAAGCGCTCGAGGAGGGCATCGTCAATCAGCTTCGTTCCGAACTCGTCGACGATTTTCTGTGCAGCAATCAAAGATCAGCTAGAGCTCTCCATTGACGAGGGGGCTGGAATTCTTACCTTGTAGTCAATGGCCTTGACTTTGCCATCAGTGCCGACCTATTTTCTCGAGTCAGTATATGCCCTTCTACTCATACGCCATAATTCGTAAACCCACTTCTCCAGACACGTTCCAAGGGTCGACTTTCTGGCCGCCCGAGGTGGCGGGCGCGTCGCCGACAGCTTCGGCAGGGATGGCAGCGGTCGGGGCTTCGGGTGCGGATGCCATTGTGACGCGTGGTCTCAGTCGATGGCGTGGAGTGTTAATTGACAAGAGGGAGAGAAATCCGGGGTCTTGGCGACTGGTCAATCGTCTTCTATACGCCTCTTGCGGTGACTCGAATTTCTTGATGACACAGAGCTGTCAGGGCAAAAGTTCCGAAATGCGTGAGTCAATGGCGGGGTGAGGGTGTGCACCTGCCTTTGCGAGTCAAAGTGCGGCTTGATTTCGGTGTGTACCCCGCTACCCCGCAGTCACCGACACACCTAGCTCACCCTCTCGGTGAGGTACCGGTAGGGCCCTACATCGCTCTTGGATCGCGAATGCACAGCCACTGGTATTCTGAGGGATCTTGAGGTATTAAGGTTGGAGGAAAGAAGTGATCAGTTATTCAAGTTGAAAGCGAAGGTGTCAGATGATAATGCAAATTCTCTGCCCGCTGCTGTATCTTAACTGGAGTGCCGTTTTGCGAAATGCAACTGTCAGGCATGTAATCCACCCCAGTTCGTTCATACACCATCAATCCACCATCACTCTTTGATGCCTTGGGGGCGACGAGCAAAACAAAACACCTCCGCTCATCTTGCGTTTTGTCTCTAGACCTTCCCACTACAATCACTCTCACGTTTGGTAATTGGCCATAATTTCTTGCCGGGTTGTCAAAGACGAGCTTGCTCGCCGAGTGGCTGGCATCGAGCTGAGAAAACTCACGAGCAACAGCGCTGAGGCTGATTCCCAGGCTTTTGTCCGAAGTGTGATAGAACCCATCTGGCGACTTGTGAGCCCAAGGCGACTGGATCTCACTCTTCTCCCAGTCAACGCCATCAAACGGAGGCTCCAGATAGTCGATTCCTCCTTTGTAGGTCATCCATGACCATGTAGGAACTTCGAGGTCTATTTCGGCAGGGAATATGATTCTATCAAGGGTTGAATCAGATCCTCTCTGCCAAAGAAGGCTGCGTCGTAGTGATCCACCGCCATCGTCAATGAATCCGTAGCCGCCGTGGGTTTTGAAGCTTTGGATGAGTCTCTTTTCGAGACCAGCTATACCGAATGGTCTGTCTTCATTCCTAGACAACTGCAGACGCGAGTATTGCTTGTACAAGTCTTGGTAGAGATGGATTTTGGCGCCCCTTGGTGAGTTCATGGCGATTGTGGAAAATCGTGGATCACCGAGGACCGCGGCAACATTGCTGTGAACGTGAAGTGTCAGCATGAGCCAAGGCCTTGTCAGATGCGGGCATGCGCAGCAAGTTGACTTACTTGTCCAGCTTTGTCATTGTCTCGCGGCGTACCCCTTGGCCGCATTGCCAGTATGTCTGTCTTTCAGTGAAGTAAATCGTCCTGTGCGCCAGCGCTCGCTCCTGCAGGACCCATCCACGTTTGCAGAGCCTTCCTTCTATTGCATCACCTTCGAAGTCATCAATCTGCTGGCAGACATGATAGTTATCACTGCTGTTTCGATTGAAAGTGACGTAGTTCCTTTTGGGTCGTGGTCCAAGAAAGCCATCCTCTTGCCCAGTAGCGCGACTGGCCGCAATGACGCAGTACGCAAAGCTGAAAACCTCTTCCATATGTTTGGACTCTTCCTTTCACATACTTGGATCATGAACAATACTCAGTATCGGATCGGTAATCTTAGACATCCTCAGGGTAGAACCTTCACGGTTGAGCTGAAATGAGCCTAATTTTCGCAATTTTTGGCAGGTTTCTAAAAGTAAATTGCAGAAACCACACGCGCCGGCTCTGTGTTGTAGATCAGAGACTGTATCAGAAAGTTGAACCCAGTAGCTCTAGTCTCTCGCAATGCTGACAGAGCTTCTGGCTCTGGGGAAGCGACAAGTCATTTGCAATTTTGTTGATTTTTGTGATGAGCATTTTGGCGAAGCCATTGTCTTTACTGAAACGCCAATGATCGCTGAGCTGATAGCAGATTCGCGGATAGGCTAAGAGCCTTAGACCACTCGCGCCCCGTCGACATTCTTGGTCTTGAAGAAACTGGAATCGTATCCATCATTGAGGCTGTCGTCAAGATTGTCCAATGCCTCGTAGCCATACATGAGCCAAATAACGCACTCGAGCATGATGCAGCCCATGGACCAGATGTCGTAGAGTCTGGACCTAGCCTTGTCAAGACTGTTGGTGACAACTTCGGGCGCCTCCTACCGGACTGCACCATACTTTGCACTAGTTGCTTTCTTGCGCCCCGCCTTAGCATCATTGTGGTGCTTCGCAAGGCCCATGTCTGCAATCTTGAGGACGCCAACACAGGTGCTGTCTCTGAATCGGAGAATGTTTCCGGCTTCAAGTCTCCGTGACGGTAATTGCCTTTATCCTTGTAATTATGCAAGGCATGCAACGCATCGGCGAGCCCACAAAGTTGAGTGGTCGTTTGCTTTAGCAGGTCCGGCATGAGAGTTGGTCGATTTTGCTCTTTCCGGAACTCTCTAAGATTGCCGCCATCGGCCCACTGGAACATGAAATACCGTTTCTCTCCGCGAGTAATGGCGGCGATTCGTTGGATGATATGGCTGTGCCGCAAATCGGTTATCTCGGAGAATGCCTTCCGCTCATCTTCATAGTTCTTCTCGATCTCGTGGCGCAAGTTGTTGTTGACGAGGATCTCTTTGATTGCAACGTGGGCTGGAAGGTTATCCACCTAAGGTAATGAGGGTGAGTTTTGTACGATTACATCGATGTTGGTTTCATGAGCAGGCTGTTACTGGGATTTCTACTTCGTACACCTGACTGAACATGCCTCCTTTGACGATGTTGTTGACCCATGTGAAAGGAAGGATACAATCGGGGATAAGTATTGCTGAAATTCGGTTTCAGAGAACACCGGCGCAAGAAATGCCCATTGCTGATTATAGAAGTTGTTTATTCTCCAGCCATTCCATATCTTTTTGATGCGCTTTTCTGTCATGCGATCGAATGGAAAGGGAAAGACCCAAGCGGAGGAATACTAGCCAGGAGTCACTGCTTTCTCTATCGGAAGATGGCTGTCATTGGAACCGGCGATCCTGAAGAACCTTACAGTCTTCAAAAGCTCGGATCCGGTGATTCCGCTACATACTGTGATCGCAAAGACTTTCTTTGCTTTGTCTTTGACAAAGCGTATCAGTGCCTTTTCTGCTGTTTGGGGATCATCGTCTTCGTCGAACAGCTCATTGGAAATTGCGCCCTCGCTAATGAGGCCCTTAATACAGCCATCTGGCAGGAAGGACGGACTGCGCTCATCGAATCTGCTCTGCACGAAATGCTGGCAGATCTGATCGCCTAATGATGATAGGGATTCGTCCATTGAGTTGCTGTCGTGAGACGTGTTCAGTGGCACGAGAAACCGAAACAACCGGAAGAGAGGGGCTCTGTCAGAGATGTGAGCAGGAGAGAGGGCCAAGTTGTGACAAACATGGCGGAAATGGAAACACAAGGGATATCAAGCGACACAAAACCAGCCACGGATGTTTCCGTGATAGCATTGTAGCTGAGTTGATAAAGCTCTGGCACGTCTTGGTATCTTGGACATAACGATGAGGACGGTCACAATTGTTGATGATCGCGAGCCCATGAGCCTACAGCCTGCTCGGCTACCCCCAACTATTGATTCAGCCAAGCCATGGCTGCTGAGCTCCTGTCCGAGGCGTTGAAGCGCCTGCCGAATCAAGCGACTAGTCGTTGTCTTGAAGGTGCCATTGCATTGCGAGCCTGCTGCATTGAGAGGAAATATTGACGTGCTTCTAAAAGACGCATTGCAGCCTGCAGCACGATAGTACCTAAAGCACCTGCTTACTAATGGCCTAGAGCCTTTCCTCATACTTGAGCGTTTCTGGAGACCCTTGAAACCACTACCAACTCGGCTCTGATGAGCTGCGAGGCCTTCACCTGAGTTGACCCTGGCAGGAGAGTGATCCCAGCTATGATTATCCCAAGGTTGCTTGGCAGGCTCTGAAAATTTTTTGCAGACAAGACGCACATCCTTCGCCATATAGACAGCCTTTGTAACACTTCGATACAGGTGATTCGTCTGTCTCCAGATTTGGGATCTTCCGATTCTACTACCAACATCCCATACATCATCATGTCAAGAAAGTGATGCAGATATTCGCTGCATGCAGGATGAGAGTGAAGTCTGTGATCACAAACTAAGGGGATTGCGATGTTGCATTAGACTTTGGAAAAGCGAACGAAGAACTAGGGTACTGATGGAGAAGGCCAGGTTGACTCACCTCGATTACAGCTTGCTTCACTGAAGCTGCCGTCGAGTCCTTCGCTTCAGAGTTATCAATCTGGAAAAATGTATCCGAATCAATGCCTGAAAAATACGGATCGGGCGAACATCGTTTCCGGGCAAATTCAAAGAGTAAGTCCTTGCCGCCGAGAAACCAAGTGATGAATTCGAGAAACAAACATCCGAGAGACCAAATATCGTATGACTGCCTGATGATTCGCCGACGTAAGTCGCATTCTGGTGGTCGATACGTGGGAGAATTGGGCACTTGACTTCTATGTTGATGAGAACGACTAAGTCGGCTGTTCAACTCTGCAAGACCAAAATCCGAGATTCTGAGAACACCTTGACGTGTGTCACAAAACTAGAGTATGTTTTCGGGCTTAATGTCCCCATGCCGACCATACTGCCGTTTATCGCTCTCGTGATTGTCTCGATTGAGCGCATCAGACGGAGACAGCAGTTGGCTACTAAGCTGCGCCTCCATGTCTTGAAGATCGGAGGAGTTGTATTCATGGATCCTTACTAGGTCATCAGAGATTCCTCGACACTGCTCAGCAATCCACAACATGGTTTCCGCGGCGTTCGATGGTTTCGGATTTAGCACTTTCCAGTACTTCATGAGATCGGATTCAGCCCATGGAAATATCAGGTAGAAACGATTCAATTGCTCGTACGTCGCCAAAAGTGAGATTAGGTGTGAGTGCGATTCTCCACTACATTTCTTCAACACTCGAACCTCCTTTTGAAAGAGTGTCTTCTTTGGCGAATTGAGACATTTAACCGCGAATGTGTTTTGCCGCAACTGTAGATGTCAGTTTCCAAGACCTCTGATGTCGTAACAGGAGCTTTGGAGACTCACTCTCGGTTCTAGAGCTGGATCGCTGAAGTCATGATGATCGGGATGAATCTCGGCCTTGAAAAACTTGACTAGATCCTCCCCGATGCATCTCGGCCGACCCCATCTCATCAGCGTGAGTGGTAGAGGTGAATGATAGGACAATATGAGGCTCAAGCACATAATGCTTTACGTTCTTTCTCTCTCCCTTGGTGAAGAATGGCAGTGACCGGAATTTGTTCGTCGTCTCCATGATGATAGGTTGCAAGACACCAAACAAAGCCGTCTCAGTGTGACTGAACATAGATGAATGAG